TGCTTATAACTTCCTACTTTACCACCTCCATGACATGTAGTGCGGTACCCACTAGTTCATGTCCCATTTACTCCCTGTTTCTGTCTAAAATCCTAGTGAATTCATACATATTACGACTCACGCATTTCCTGCCGCCCGGTCCGGTTCGACTGCTCCTATGCGGATGCGCGCGCCGCTGTAGGGGCAGTATTTATCCGTGTCATAGGGCAGAGGGTGCAGAGCATTGTTCACAGGGGGGTTTGTTTGTAATAATGTTTTGTATGTATATGGGTGGTGTGAATAGGTGGTGTAAAGGTTGTATAAAATGATAGTGATATGATGATAATATTTAGTTTTCATGTAATGTTTTTTTTTCTGCTTAGCTTATAGCTTATTTATGGCCTTAAGCTAAAGATAATACCCTGATTGTTGGTATGGTCCAATTGGCCCTGAATGGGCCAATTTGGCTTAATGCTTTGGCCTATTTAAGAGGGCCTCATTCTGCATTAGAGACAGTGAGGGTGAGTACTAGCTTGCTGTGAGGCTATGTACAAAGTATTTGCTGTACTATCGTTGAAAGCTAGAAGCATTGTGCTATTTTGATTTATTTTTGATTATTTTGTTTTCTTGACTTCTGAGTTAAAATATAAATAAACTTTATTCTATTTTTTGGGAACAATTAAGCTCCGGTAACAGTCTTTTCCTCCTCCACCACCTAAAGCCAGTGAGCCTACACATCCCAGTATTTGGGGTGACACTCGGTACCTCACAATCATCATTTCATTGACTTGTAATATAAGCTCTTAGACAGAAAGCAATCAAGAATATGGTTTTAATAATTGAAACTACGGATACAGAATTCTACATTTAAACCCGGGATACATATATGTACATTAACAGTAAAACCAACGAAACAAACAAATAACAACGAGAGAGAGAGAGAGAGAGAGAGAGAGCTGATCGTGAAAGATCATGTGAGATAGACAGAGAGATAAAGAAGACCTGGAAAGATCATGAGTTTTGCAAAATTCATCACAGACACAGAACCTTTGAGACAACAAGAATCAACAGATCTTAAACCTTGAAAGAATGGTAAACGGGTACTTGCACCGGTAAAGCTCTTTGTGTGGCTGAGGTGAAGAAGGCGTGTGTCTTTCTCGGTCATGTGAACGTCGAGCGTCCAACTGGTTCGTCCAGCGCGCGCGAGCGCGGCGTGTTTGAATGTCCTTGGAGGTGAGCTTGCCAGCTGAGCTGAGCTGTGTTCATTTTCCTCGCGAGAAGACATGAACAGAGGAGACTTCGAAAAAGATAAAAGAAACTTGAAGAAAACAAAAAGAGAAACGATGGATCATCACACGAGGGCGAGGTCCAGACGCACGAGGAGTCACATGATGAAGCATCGAAGAGAGTTTTTTGAGAGTTCACAAAAACTAAGAGAGTTTTTTGAGAGTTTCAGAAGCATGAAGGGAAGCTCGGCGCGTCTCTTTAAGGACACTTAGGTTCACGCCCCTTCTGGCATGAAGGCACCAATCAGCTGGGAGAAAAGTGCCCGCGGAAGATTCCTCTTTGTCTTGTCAGGATCAATTATGATGGTATAACATTTTGTCATTCCTACCCAGAAAGATTGTACAAACCGGACAATAGATTTTACAGTAATATCCTATGTATGACTGGTTCAGTCAAAACAAGACGGTCAAACAGCTACCAAAAATGGCAGGTAAAAGTAGAAGAACATAAAGTTACATTCATATGCAGAATTACAAGCATTTTAAAGTTTGATTAACACACAATAAAATTGTCAGTACTTCCAGTATGGCATGTGACGACATCTAAGCACAAAAATGAATACATTTGAAACATTTAGAGGTACTTTTCTCTGAAAAGTTCCATGGCTGGTGTTTGTGTGTTAATGTGTTGGAATGTTGGCTCCTTGTGCAAGGCAATATTGGGGAACATTCTTTTGATAAACTCTTAGACTTCAGAGCTATACACTAGCAAACCACACCTCTATTATAAAGCAAAACTAATAACACATGCATATAGGACTGTACATACATTAAAAGGACATTTCTATCCTAAGTTGCACACAAAGGACGTTTGTGTGTGTGTGTGTGTCTCTGTGTGTGTGGGTATCCTTATGGTCAGCATCTGTCCATCCGTGGTGTATACCACGTGAGGGTTTAGTTCGCAAATGGTTGTCTTGAAGACAAAAGGGTAGTTTTGTGTTTAAATCTTATCAGCCTACGGAGACATAATAATTGATGAGGGGGGAAAAATTAGCTCAAGACCCTGAATGGATCAGTTCTTATTCTTTTGTGACTGAGCACAAATTGCAAGCAGTGTAAGGATTTTAGAACAACGGGGCCCTGTTTCTTGATTGCGCAATGCGTCAAATGAAGTTAATCAATGACCTGCTCGCAGACATTGGGGCACCATATCACATGATTCAAGGTTTTGTGAATTAAACATATGTGTTCATATTTGTTCAGTAGTGAAGGAAAACAGGATTCGGTCAGTCGCTACAGCACTTTACAAAAACGAAGGAGCTAGGGGGTTTAGCACTACCTAAGTTTTTGTTTTATTACTGGGCTGCAAATGTTCGTAACATTTTATTCTGGTGCTGTTCCAGTGATCAGCCTCCACCCTGGTTGAGGATTGAGGAGGCCTCATGTGGTAGCTCTTCGCTTATGTCTCTTCTGTGTCTTCCTCTCTCATTTTCACCTTTAACCTTCTCCAGTAATGTTATAGTTAAAAATTGTCTTAAGATCTGGTGTCAACTCAAGCGCCATTTTACTTTACTGTCAACACCTCTTATATGCCCGGTGCACTTTAACCCCATCTTTCCTCTTAATATAGGGGTCTTAGGGATCTTAATATAGAGATAGAGACAGAGACATGGCAGTCGATTTTGAAACGTGTTCACACGTCATCTGTTTGTGCTCGCCACGGAGTTTTACAGTGTAAAGTTGTTCACACAGTACACTGGTCTAAAAGTAAATTAGCCCGCATGTTCCCTGACTTTGATCCAAGCTGTGACAAGTGTCATCTAGAACCAGCTAATTTAACTCACATGTTCTGGACTTGTCCTGCTTTATCTTTTTTTCTGGGAGTCTGTTTTTGATTCTCTTTCAGCTATCACTTCTGTTAATATCTATCCCTCTCCACTAATCGGCTTGTTTAGAGTACTACCTCCTGATTATTCGTTGCCGTCTCATTTTGCTGAGTTGGTAGCTTTTCTTACGCTGCTAGCGAGACGTTGTATTTCGATGAACTGGAAGGGTCCTCACGCCCCTTCTCGTACTCGGTGGATAAAAGATGCCTTATTTTTTGTTAAATTGGAAAAAATTTAACACTGCCTTCGTGGTTCCATGGTTAAATTTTCAAGAATTTGGTTACCCTTTTTAGAGCATGTTAAATCTCTGCAGCTGGATGCAGTCCCAATTGACTGACTGACCACCCACCCTGCCCTATCAGTGTTGGTTATTCCAGTAGCACACTTTATTAGTCTTTGGGTTACTCAACTTTACTTACTGGACCTACTTAAGGCTCATTTTGGCCTATGTTTTTGTATTGATTTTTATTTATTTTTTTAATGTAATTATTTTTTTAATGTAATTTTTTTTTTTGTTTTTTTGTTGAGTCTTTGTCACTGTTGTTGTGAAAAATTCAATAAATAAATCATATATTAAAAAAAACGTCAAAAAAGAAAAGAAAAAAAAAGGGTATGTTGGATGACGCTCTGATTGGTTTATTTCATGTTACGCCCAAACCACACCTATGAATAATGACGCTATTTCAGACCAACCCCTTTTAAACTTGCGTCGGGCGCAAGAGTCATTTATCCCGCCGGTAAAATAGCAACAGCTCCCAAGACCCGCCCACAAAGTTACTTGCGCTTCGCGCTTGATACTTGCGTTTCAGATCGTTAAAATAGGGCCCTATATGTGTTATAACTCAATGAGGGATATCTTTAGATCTGAGTGACGGATTTTGGTGACTTTGGTCTTTTTTTAATCGTGACGGTCTTTTTTAATCGTGACAGTCTGTTGTAAATAAGGATGTGCCATTTTTAACGATCGGAGCATGTTTCATGAAGTTACCCGCAAAAACGCCAAGTCTAAGCAACTTTACTCATGTGCATCTGTGCTGTTTTTTGTATGTTATAACATAACGAGGAATATATTTAGACCTGAGGGACGGATTATTGTGTCTTTAGGCTCTTTTTAATCGTGAGAATCTGCTTTAAATAAGTATGTGCAATTTTCCATGTTTCATGAAGTTACGAGTGAAAAACGCCTCGTGAATGCCACATCAATATATTATTTACATATGGGTCTTGCGGGGCTTAACTTACAAAAACTCACTCAAGTTTAGTCAAAGCCCAAAACAATTGGGCTTGCTGTGTTCTACTCCATGAGCCCTTTCAAATGACATATGACACATGAATATCTGAGCTGTATGATGTTTTTGACCCATTGCAGTACATAATAATTTCCCCTTCCTCATTAATTATAATTTATTTATTTTTCATTTTATCAGCAAATAACTCAGCACTACTTTGGAGATAATCATAATGGCTACATTCCTTGTAAAGTTTAGATAATTTATTTATTTATTTTATTTAAAATTATTTATTTATTTTTGATTTTATCAGCAAATAACTCAGCACTACTTTGGAGATAATCATAATGGCTACATTCATTGTAAAGTTTAGACTCTAAGCTTTCAAATGATGCTTATTTTGTGTTGATCAATGCAGTAGTTTTGAAAAATATGACAATTAATTTTTTCATAGCTAGGTGGCGCCCCCCGGTGGTACACTCCGTTCTAAAGGAATAACTCAGCGCCTGTTAGGAGTTAAATAAAATTCTAAGCTTTAAAATGATACCTATTTTGTGTTCTTACATTCAGTGGTTGCTTAGTAATTTGATTATGAATTTTTTTCATGGGGTGGTGTCCCACCGGTGGGACGGTTAGGGCTTAAGTTAATTTTGGTGTACAAAATAGTTACTATTTTGTACCTTGAAGGTTTCTTGTCCATGGCATGGAGAGCTGTGTACAGGTGGACTATGTCCGCCTCCTCCTTGGCTGACAAGGCGGTAATGGTACGATTCAAGCCAACTAGGTAGGCTGCAAGGGCATCAACTGCCAGCCCCTCGAGTCACATTGGCTGGTCTGAAAAGTGATAAGTGAGAAAAAGAAAAAACAAGCAAATAAATGTACACTCTTGTTTCTAATATGTGAGTAATGCTGATTTTACATTCATTTATCTTATTAAAATGTAACCACATTTACTTCAGTTAAATATTGTGTTTTTGAGTAAGGTGTTACAGAAAGTTTTATTGACCTCTGTGATGAGGGGTCCGGGTTCAGTGTCACCCGCCACAGCACTTGGGGGATCACCAGCCCCTATCTCAGCTGACTGGCAGACAATGTCTAGCATGCTGATGGTGTCATCTGGCTCATCCTCCTCCTCAAGCACCGGCGAGGGGATTTCATAGACCTGCAATGGAGCCAGCAGGTCACCTCTGTTGGTCTAGGCCAATAAATATTCCACTGCTATGCGCTCGCCTGTAACCAGTATAAAACACAAAGATGAAGAAAGGACATACATACACACATCCATCTCCTATATGAATAGCACAATCGTCACACCCAAGAAATGCATGTCCTCTGAGTAGGGGGGTGCCTAAGAAAAAGAGCAGGAGGGGATGTAATACTCTGGTCAACCAGTGTTGCTGAGATCTCTCTTACCAGTAGGTTTTCCGGGTGGGGTGATCTCTGGCACCAGAGCACAACCATGGACGCGCTGGCTTAAGTTATTAAGGTGGGACATCAAGCGAACATCAAAGCTTCTTAGGGTCGAGGCCCCCTCCACATCTACTGCCTCCTTGGCCCGGCCCATGTTCCATCTTGATGCCCCCTCCAGCATGTACATTTGCATGTGTACAGCATTGCACCGCCAGCCTAAGAAACAAAATACTAATATAGTTTTTTATTGTTCATTATTATCAACCATTATTGTAAAGTGAATACATATGAATACCCGACAGTGGTAATTGTGTTATTTTGAATAATTACAACACATAACAGAAAATAACATTTAAAAAATACATACAATACAGTATGTCTTGATGCACATGTACCTGGAATAAAAGCACACTGATGTCGGTGAAAACTCTCCAGGGAGAAGGACCCCCTACCACACCTAAGGATGTCCAGCTCTTTGCCGCCCTTCTGGAGTGTCCCCACCTTTGTGTACAGTGCAACACCTGCAGGGTCTTGGAGGCACTCCAGGTGCTTCTGCTGCACTTCCCACACGTGGTGCATGCTGTCATGGCCCACCAGACGCAGCCCTGTGGTGTTTGTCAGCTCCCACACTGATTCCAGCAGCCCTGAAATCATGCTCCTCATCTCCTCCACTCCACGCGTCCTCCTCCTGCAGTTTCTCTTCAGTTCCCCTGGGCTGATGGTGGCCACGAGCTGTTCTTCAGTGGGAGCATGTCTGCTGTGGCTGCTCTTCCACTCCGCTCTCTTGGCCTCCTTCAGGCATTGCACATCCTCCTGGTCCCATTAAAAAATGCAGGAGGAAAGCTTGGCACAAAAGGTGCCATAGAGAGGGTGGTGTTCTGTAGTGAGCCCGCTGTTAAAGTGTCTCATGAAATGGAAGCTGTTTAAGCGCACTGCAGACTTCCATGGGTGAAAGAGCTTAGCCACTGAAGACACACCTGTGAAAAACAACCATTCTGAGAAAACACCTGGCCAGAAACACCTGGCCAAAGTCATTGCCGATGTTTGACATCCATGCAGCACTGTCCCTGATCCCGCCACCTTTTTGGTGATCTGTAAAACAAACACAAGCATTAAGAAGTAAACCAATTTCCTGTTTTGTTGTAATTATACATGTTCTATTTTATATACTTTTTTACTGTTGAAAGGCAAGGCAAGGCAAACCTAACCCTAACCTTAAAAATCAAAGTAATACTCCAAGGCACTCGAATTGTGTATACAAAAATTAAAAAGCCTTTATTGAATCATGGCTTTTATCTTTAAAAATGGTGACAGATACAGCTACGCGTTGCGGCTATTGCCTTCGTCAGGGTGTGTGTAACAAACAAAGTCACAGGTGCATTTTAAGTAGCAGTTCATCAATCTAAACAGCAAACACCTGGTCACACTATGTAAAGTAACCAGCAGGGAGCAGAGTTCAACAAATGACATAGTATCTTACATAATAAAAAGTCAAATAAAATCAAAACAAAAAAAACCCCATTAAATAAGAAAATAATAAATATAAGAAAAAAATATATATATATATATATATATATATAAATAAAAAAAAGAAAAGAAAGAAAATAAGAAAAAAAAAAAAAATTTAAAAAATTAATTCTTATTAAAAAAAATATATATATATATATATATATATATATATATATAAAAAAAATAAAATAAAGTTGTATAAATCCAAATAAAACATTTCGTCAAAAAGCCTTTATTGAATCATGGCTTTTATCTTTAAAGGAGCTGTATGTAAGATTGTGGCCAAAACTGGTACTGCAATCACTTTCAAATTACTGTAGAGCGGTGTATCCCCTCCCCCCTGATTCGAGGTTGCCAGATAGGCTGCAGGATCCAGCAGAAACGTGACGAGCTGCAGCTGTGGTAACTAGAGCAGAGCTGGCAACCCGGATGCCGCAACACTACTGACTTCGTGATTGGTACATAGGTGGAGGGAGGAGCATCAGACCAAAACACAACATGACAACATCAACATCAGTTGACGGCTGCAACTTCACTTTTTAAATGACAATATCCTGGCCGGACTACTGTTGTCAGTGATATAAGTATTTGAAATGAACATGATTTCTTAAAGGGCACCTATTATGCAAAATTCACTTTTACATGCTGTTTGAACATAAATGTGTGTTGGCAGTGTGTGAGCAAAACCACCCTAGAATGATAAAAATCCACCCAGTGTTTTTTTTACAATCTCAATAATTCATATGCACTCTCTCAGAATGAGCTGTTCTAAGATTCAGCTTTTTGTGACGTAGAACATGGGAAAGGGGTTTGATTGACAGTGTGGTTGAGGCAGACCCCTCCCTCGGTGATCTGATCCTCCATTGTTGTTTCAACGACAGCGAGACCGCTGTTCTGAAGATTTGTGCTGCCTTCTAGAAAATGCCTCCTAAGAAAAATAAGTGTTTTGTTGTGGGCTGTAATACTTCGCATAGTTGTTTGCACTTGCTTCCGACATCAGAGCCACTGAAAACGCAGTGGGTGGATTTTATTTATGAAGGAAATGCGCCTCTTACACTCCCGAAGTACGTTTATGTTTGCTCAAATCATTTTGAGAGTGACTGTTTTTTGAACGGCGGTCAATTCAAAGCAGGTCTTGCTACAAAATTAATCCTCAAGGGTGGATCGTTGCCTAGTGTTCGCGATCCAACAACAATTCCTGAAGAAGTAAGTGTATTTTATGATTTCTGAGGTAACGTTAATAGTCATCGACAACAAATGTTTTTGTCGTCGTCGTCGTCGTATGATTTATGTACTTTAAACCTTTTAAATAACCACACGTTTTCATATGTTTTTTTAAGATATTGTATTAAAAAATGTGTATGTTTTCGAAAAAGACATCAAAATTACTATGTTTCTACAAAGGCCAGCACATCGACACGAAGCTGTAGGGATATTGCCGTGCAGACACACACATCACAGCTGTGCAGTGTTGGTACACAACTATCAATGAGGACGCTTCAAACACACCACAGGAGTATCAGTATGTTGATGTTTTCTAACTATATTTATATTACATAATATAGAATATAGTACTATAAATTTGTATTAACTAAATGTATTTTTATATGTACATTTCTAAATTCATTTTCTGTAAAGTTCCTTAAATGTATACAATATAACAATATATAAACAATATACAAATACATTTGAATTGAATTGAATACCCACAAAAAGAGAAAGAGAATATTTGCTGAATCTGTGCTAAATTATACATTTCAGGTGTCCAGACAGAGACAACATTGTCAAATTTTGATTATACCACAAAATTAGTTTCGCATACAGCGGTTGCGTCTTCCACACCCCTCAAGACTTCATCAAAGAGACCTTGTCTGGACCTTGAGGAAGATGAAGATATCCTACAAGAATGCTCTTCAATTGTAACTGCACAAGAGACTGATGTCACATTTAATCCAACAGGGGATGAAACATCGACAACAGAGCAAAAAGACTTGTCGTAAGTTTATATTATAATTTATAATAATGTTTGTTTTAATTTTAGCATTTCTAATTTTTATGTACTACTTATATAAAGTAAAAAAAAAAATTATTATTATTATTTTTTTTTTCAGATCTCAAGCATCCAGCCCTATTCAGAAAATCTATAAATATATTGTCTATGAGACATGTATCATGGAACTGTTTGAGGTGTGCCCGGTATGTCATAGAAGATGTCATACAAGATCACAAAGGATTGGAACTTTTCTACGTGTTGAACAACTGTGCCACCATTGTCAGTTCACACGGAAATGGAACAGTCAGCCGATTTTGGGCAGTACTCCAGCTGGAAACCTTCACCTTTCTGCTGCTGTGTATCTCAGTGGTGCTTCATTTGTGACAATTGAAAAGGTATTTGTAACACAAGTAATTAATATCTTTGCAGGTACATGATACTAAACATTTATAATGTATAATTAGTTTGTTTATTCATTTATCAATTTAAAATTGACCAACTATTCTCTATCTTTTGTCAGATATTTGCAGCTATGAAGTTACATCTTTTCAAGTACGACACCTTTCGTCACCATGCACGAATGTGCATTGAGCCTGCTATTGTTTACAAATGGAGAAACTGGCAGGATGAGATGCTACAGCTGTTAGCTCAAAGGGGAAAGGTCATTGTTGGAGGAGATATGAGGGCTGACTCACCAGGTACATTGTTGGAAAAATTTACATTGTAAAAAAAAAAATGTCTCGTGTAGACAAGGCGCATTTTGTAATAAGAGATTATGTTTTTTTTTTTTTGAAGGGCACTCTGCCAAATATGGCAGTTTCACAATGATGGACCTGGAAACAAACACCGTTGTTGATGTACAACTCGTCCAGGTAAATGAGCTGAAACCCT